GCTGACAATACCGCGGTGACTAAGTGAATCGGATTTGTAGCCAACGCTGAGGGATCCAATAAACGCACGCTGCCACGCACGAACGCACGCACGCTACCACGTAAACACGCACACACGAGCGCATGCACGCAACCACGTAAATACGCATGCACGCACATACACGCGTGCGTGCGCTGAGCGATTTTCGGCGGTGAAAAGATTTCGTTGTCGACGCGCTATCTACCTGATCGATGTAAGCTCCTCGCACAATTTTCGCTCCAAAGCCGAAGCCAATCTTTTGCGATAGTTCGTAATCGGTCACAAGGTTATCATAGGATTTCTGAAAATGTAATAATCAAGCTAACACGCTTCTAATAACTCGACGCTATAAGCTTTCGCTTGACAAGCACACCGATAGCGGTGTGGCTATCCGACTAGTGTTTCTTGAGCATTTATATGCGTAGTATACCTGGTTTGGGAAAGCGTAATGTAATATGGACAAGGCGCCAGGCAGCATATTAAAACCTAAAGAAGAAGAATATCTAAATGCATAGCACAGGAGTCGCTTTACCTAGAAAATATGACCGTATATCAACATATAAACATCTCTATAAAAGAGACTAGGAGTCGTTAGCGGCCTCTATCGGCGTAACCCGTTTGACATTGTTGACGTCATGCGTGAACGAGTACAGATTCCGCAGTGCTCAATCAGATATCCGCCCGTGGCCAAGCCTCACGAGGGCGCTTGCAACGCGACCGAGTAGCGGAAGCAGTGCTAGTAGCAAGTGAACAGCACCAGGCGTGGTGGTGGCGCTACGATCGCTTGGCGCGTGTACCTTCAGATAGCATTGGTAAGTGGCCCAAATCATCGTCTGCGATTTGTTAAAGTTGGCCATCATCGCCAACGTCAGTGCGTCCAGCGCCGGGTTCATGAAGCTATACTCACCGTCCACGAGCAACTTCACGTTACTCTTCAGCGCCATCTGTAGGCAAACAAGGACAATAATTAGCTAGGCATATGAGTGTATATATAGGGTTTCCCGCGAATTTCATGCTAGGATCATGGCACGAGCCTACCTTGACTCACATACCCGACTATATAGCTAGACTATAAACTATAGTAGACTATAGAGACTGTAGACTGTATCTAGACCCCCTATCTAGACTGTAGACTATAGAGACTATAGCTAGACTCATATACCCGAAGGCTAAATGGAAGTGCATACATGCGATTTGAAGACTGCGACGATTAGTTTCACAAAACTAACACGCACGTATATCCAGAATGGGGGGGGGGCATTCATCCGCAGGCTATAAATTGTTTACCATTTAACCTGCACGGTACAGCGTAAAAAACATCCTGTAGTATAAACCTAGGGGTTATAAACAATAGGGCTATAGGCCCACATTGAAATGTTGACTGACAATAACAACCGCCCTCGCCGCTGCTAATACCAACATCGGCATATATATATATATATAAGTAAAGTCACACACAAATACCCGTGTAGATAAAAACAAAGTCAAGGTATAGAATAAGGGTGTTTAAAGTTTAATTGACGAGCTTTCGAGATTACATCTCTTTATCAGGTCAGCAGACATTGGAATAGAATCAAATAATCAAAAACAAATACAATGCGTTATAGATAATCAAAAATGAATGATTCACACAATTCGCTGTGTGATAAAATTGTCCGTATTCATGGCAACGCGCGAATTGTGTGAATCATTCATTTTTGATTAACGCATTGTATTTGTTTTTGATTATTTGATTCGATTCCAATGTCTGCTGACCTGATAAAGAGATGTAATCTCGAAAGCTCGTCAATTAAACTTTAAACACCCTTATTCTATACCTTGACTTTGTTTTTATA